CTCAGTCCTCTTCTTCCTCCTCCTCCCTCTCAGCCATCCTCCTCAGCCATCCTCCTCAGCCATCCTCCTCAGTCCTCCTCCTTCTCAGTCCTCCTCAGTCCTCCTCCTGAGTCATCCTCCTCCTGAGTCATCCTCCTCAGTTCTCCTCCTCCTCCTCCTCCTCCTAGGTCCTCCTTCTGGGTCCTCCTCCTCCTCCTCCTCCTGGGTCTTCCTTATCCTTCTCCTCCCTCTCAGTCATCCTCCTCAGTCATCCTCCTCAGTCATCCTCCTCAGCCATCCTACTCAGCCATCCTTCTCAGCCATCCTCCTCAGTACTCTTCAGTACTCTTCAGTACTCTTCAGTACTCTTCAGTCCTCAAAATGTTTGCCTGCTAATGTCCACCAATGTCCGCTAATGTCCATCCAAGTCCGCCAATGTCCGTCCGGGTCCGCCAATGTCCGTCCGAGTCCGCCAATGTCCGTCCGAGTCCGCCAATGTCCGTCCGTGTCCGCCAATGTCCCAAAAAACACGTCCGTTGTCTCATAGAATCCAAAAAGGACAGGACATAGGCGGACATAGACGGACATGACACCCCCCCCCTAATTTCCAGAAGTTGTATGTTATGTAGTGTTAGGACGCTTAAACTGTTTAATGCAGCAACTAACAGAAATGTTGATTGAAATAAATCGTACACTTGAAGTGACTAGGAGTAACAATTAGCAGATGTTGCTTACTACACCAAAATGTGATGTTGAAGTGTCAAGGAAGTATGTATCACTTAAAATTGCCCGACTCGCGGACTCGCCACAATTACATTGAACTTCTCTTCTCACTAGTTGAAATTCGTTGGAAATTGTAAGATATGAATATTGATTATTGATACTTGTTGGAAATTGTAAGATATGAATATTGATACTTCCATTAACATAATTGAAGTATAGATCTGAATATTGGTGGGAAGGTGAACTATTTTTGTTCTAGCACGTGTAGTGATAGCGCGTGTAGTGACAGCAAATCTGGCTTTGATTGGTCAACTGAGGCTGTTTCACTGTTTGGTTAACCATTGTCGCGTGCAGCATATTGTTATAAATGTTTACCTCGGTAATATTTTTAAACCTGGGAAGAAATAATCCCAGTAGTCGGATCCTAACCGTCCTAAGAGGCCATCTCATTAACTTTTAGTGTTAAAAGCGATTTCTCGACGGTCATCACCTCTCTAGAGATCTCAATCCAGGGATTACAGTGGGATCACAGGGAGTAGTTGAGTTGAGTTTTTTTAATTGAGGTCTGTTGGCCGCAGTTCAATTTAGCTAATTTACCATAATAGTAATACCGCAGTGGTTTGGTTCCCACTTCAGAATGACACCATATTCTTTTTGCGGTATTACTATTATGGTAAATGAGCTAAATTTAACTGCGGCCAACAGATCTCAATCCAGGAATTACAGCGGGATCAAAGGTATTAGTTGAGTTGAGTTTTTTAATTTAGATTTGTTGGCCGCAATTAAATTTAGCTAATTTCCTACAATACCGCAGTGGTTTGGTTCCCACTTCAGAATGACACCATATTCTTTTTGCGGTATTACTATTATGGTAAATAAGCTAAATTTAACTGCGGCCAACAGATTACTGACCAATATTGGTCGAGGCAACGAAGTCAATTATAATTATAAAGTGGGGTACTGGTCAGCGGTCAATGAATAAACTAAAAGTTGAATTTTGGTCATTATATTTTGGCTAAATTGGTGTCAATGAAAAAATGTTGGAGTTTTCACAAATCATGCAGTAGTTAAACTTATTTACTGATCACTCCTAAACTGAGCGTTTTTGAGTATATGTTGTGCATGAGTCGGCAATTGAGAATAATTTGCTGTTATCAGCTGACTCTTTGACCTTTACTTTGACCTTTACTAAAGAAACCGTAATTTTGAAAATTGCCCTTTCTTAAGACACAAATATGCTGCTGGCCAGACCCATTAAGAGAGATGCCCAATAAAGTAAATCATTCTCCAATTTTTGTAGGTGTTTCTGGACACAAAGTGAGTCATCTTACATCTTGTGACAAATGCTATGTTGCTCATGAGTCTTGAAGACCTTTCTAGTTAACAGTCCAATAGCCCATTTGTGAATATTGTCAGGCAAAAATATTGAATATAGTGAATATTGTCGGCAAAAATCCGTTTTTCAGCTACATTTCCGAAAATAAGCCTTTTAGGGTATATTTTGCCCCATAATTTATATAAATGTGGCCATTATGTACATTTTAGTGTATCAGAATAGTCTATACGACCTTCCTAGGCGAAAATGTAAAAAATCATGGAAAATATGAACTGCGTCAAGCCAAAAACCGTTTTTCGGCCATATTTCCGAAAATAACTATTTTAAGGTATATATATTTTGTTCATAAGTTGAATATAAATATGGCTATTAGGCACATTTAGGTGTACGACGTTTCTGGGCTGAAATACAAAAATTCGAGTGACCGCGAAACCCTGAAAAAGGGTGTGGCCGAAAACGCCCGTATTGCATTTAGTACAAAAATGCAATAGAGTCAAAATGTTTTAAGCATCATCTAGAGAGGTGATAACCGTCGAGAGATCGCTTTTTAACACAAAAAGCTGACGAGTTTCCCCCTTCGTCTCGGACTACAGCTAGAATCAGCACGATTATAAGATATATCGAGGCAACCAATCGGCTATTAAGGTAGCATCTGTTTGACGATCCTATTAACAGTTCTAAGGCACCTAGCATGACATAAGGAATTGACCGCCCGGTCTCCACGTCGTTAACCCGGCGGGGTTGCACCAGGGGCGGTGGTAACAGAGCTTCAAGACTCCAGGAGTCTGTTGTCGATATCTATGTTTAATATATTTATGGTTCATAATTTGGGAGTCTCTCTCTCCAGTAGCAGGAGTTGGAGACATATGGACGCGTTGTGAAAGCCACCGAAAGGAAGGCTTACAGACGACGTTGACCGATCAGAAGTTTACCTATATTTCACTGCAAACTATTGGAACCTTTGATTAAGATTGCAAATGACCATAAATTATAAAGCCCCGTCCTTAGCCCCAATGACCGGTTAACATGTAATTTGTAAATATAAATTGAGAACTCGCATAACTCCTTCATTTTATTTTCTTTCTTACTCTTATTTGTGCCATTTCACTATTTTGATGGATCTGAAATAATGTAATTTCATTCGCAAAACCGAAATAATGTAATTTCATTCACTAACTTCAGTTTAAGACACGAAAGCTTCATCGAACCGGCTTCGTCAAAACCAGCCATAGGTTATCTGACCGGATGATTTTCATTATCAATATAACGATTTTACCTTAAAATGGATAGGTAAGATCCTGGGGAGTGGGGACTGATGATCAGGTCATTTAATTCAGTCATTCATTCATATAAATATTATTTAACTGTATTATACGTCAAATTATGCTCACTTGGTCAACAAAAAAGGATTGTAACGAGGTCTGATCGTCATCTTCTTACAGCGTTCGATGTCTTTGTTAACAAAGTTTGGCCAGAAGAGGGTCCGCAGCAGGGACAAAAGGATTTCGCGATTATTTTGGCCAAAAATCGCGGTACCGCGAAATTTAACAGGTTATACATTAAACTATACATAAAATTTGTCGCAGAGAATGGGAAATTTCGCGATTTCGTACATGCCGCGAAATCCTTTTGTCCCTGGTCCGCAGTAGTCTCATTACCTTAGTATTGCTGCAACCATAAACGGTCAATCACTACTTGTTCAGATATTTATTAGTTAAGTTAATATAATCAAACTAGCTGTACGGGACGGTTTGTGCTCCGGTGACTTATTGGAAGAATGTTTAGAAAAATCGTCGGAATTTTTCCCCTACATTTTTCCCCTATAATCACAAGGGACATATCATTTCTTTTTTTCTTTGCCGGTAAAGTTTACTGTTCATTTGGTTTCCCAGCTCCAGATGCACCCAAGTTAGAGAAAGACCCGACCTTTGTCGTTTTTTCCCCACAAGAAAATTTTGGAGGGCATGCGATAGAGAAACTTTTAAACTTTCTGAACGTACACGGGGGGGGGGGGGGGGGGGGGGGGCCAAGTGGATATTTGTAGATATTTGGATAATGTCATCCACTTTTTTCGTGAATTATCCATTACAATCATCTACAAATATCTACATTTATCTACAAAAAATGTATATCTCAAATATGTGCCCAGAAATTCTACTGAATTTTTGGAGATAAATGTATAAATTTGTAGAATTTGTAGAATTTTCGTGAATTATCCATTGACAATAATCTACAAAATATATCTACATTTATCTACAAAAAATGTAATCTCAAATATGTGCCCAGAAATTCTACTGAAATTTTGGAGATAAATGTATAAATTTGTAGAGTGTCATCCACTTTTTTCGTGGATTATCCACTCTACATTAATCTACAAATATCTACAAATATCCACTTGGCCCCCCCCCCCCCCCCCTACACGATGTGTTTTATAATATGAAATACTACATTGGCAGGCAAACATTCAGAGATTTGGCCGCTAAATAGAGATTTTATAATTCAATCGACGATCTCAAATATTTCATGCGAAAATAGAAGTGTATAACTATAATAGATTTTGGGTATTTTTTGCCAAAATTAGGCATTTGGTGGTGATTTGAGTACATTAAGAAAAATTGAAGAATTGAAAAGAGGCTGGACCTAAATGGCCGACGAAAGGATCTGGCTGCCTCTGAGTCTGTGCGTGACCCATCGGCCATCTGTGTAGCAAGTGATTGTTTCGATGGGGATGTTGTGCTTTTCGACAGTTGTTAGCAAAAAATATAACTCTCGGACAAATGCTTCGGTGACTTTGTAGTTGGAGATCATGAAACACCTGTTCGTTATGCTTGATTCGATTATAAAACAAAGTGTGACGTCATAGAACGCACCTGTTGTCTTATTATCACCAGGGCTGCTCTGGTAAGGAGACTTGTGTTCATACTCACATTCATACTCATTTTAATCAAATTCCTCCTTTCAGACGAAGATGGATAAGCAGATAGAAACATCAATACGGTACATAGAACGTATCCTGCAGTTGTCATTTGTCATGACCCGGCAACCTGACGATATTAACGTCATGCAGACTCCCAGTACCCACAGAATTGTAAGTAAGGTTAGTTTTGTGTCACTCTCCTTCTTTATGCCATTTTAATGTTTTTAGCATGATTGTTATAGCTGTTGTGAGATGCACCTGCCCATTTATAGTGCCGACTTGATTACCCGTATCACTTGTATGAATCGTGACATCACATACGGAAAAGTTTATGTTTGAACCAACCAAAATATCGATTACTTGCCAATAAGATTAATTAATCAACTAATTAAGATTAATTGATCAACTAATTAAGATTGATTGCCGGTTTCAGCTCCGGGAAAGAGAGTTTATCAAGGGGTCCTTCCTGGCGTACAACCCCAACTGCCCCATCCAGTGGATAAACATCTCTTCAGCCTGCCAGATGTACCTGATAGGTCTCAACGAGTACAAGTAAGTTTAATAAAGTAAGTTATTAAGTAACGAGTACAAGTAAGTTTAATAAAGTAAGTTATTAAGTAACGAGTACAAGTAAGTTTAATAAAGTAAGTTATTAAGTAACGAGTACAAGTAAGTTTAATAAAGTAAGTTATTAAGTAACGAGTACAAGTAAGTTTAATAAAGTAAGTCATTAAGTAACGAGTACAAGTAAGTTAAACGAGTTCTCGACGAGTACAAGTAAGTTTAATTAGGTAAGTTATTAAGTCACGATTACAAGTAAGTTAAGGGGGCAGGGGGGGTCTTCATGGAAATTTTCTCAAAATCGACTTCTTAGTTGTTTCTGATAGAGGGGAGTGATATCTATCAGATGCTTTTAATCCGATAGAAAAATATTGTTCCTAGCCGAAATTATCGCCGGTAAAAGGTCAGCGCTTGTGTGTAATTGTATTGCGCGAGCGATTTTTGATCGCGTGCCCTGAAAATCGAGTCTAAAAATCTATCTCCTCCTACATTTTTCGAGCAATCACCCTCAAACTTTCAGGATATGTTCTAAGGATCATTATAAAGGCAAAATTTTGAGATAGGCCTTTAAACATTTTTTATTCGATTTTAAAAATCTTGGACCTCGAAAAATCGTCAAAAAACCAGGTCCAAGATTTTCAAAATCGAATAAAAAATGTTTAAAGGCCCATCTCAAAATTTTGCTTGGACAATCTCTTCTAAATGATCCCTAGAACATATCCTGAAAGTTTGAGGGTGATTGCTCGAAAAATGTAGGAGGAGATAGATTTTTAGACTCGATTTTCAGGGCACGCGATCAAAAATCGCTCGCGCAATACAATTACACACAAGCGCTGACCTTCTACCGGCGATAATTTCTGCTAGGAGCAATATTTTTCTATCGGATTAAAAGCATCTGATAGATATCACTCCCATCTATCAGAAACAACTAAAAAGTCGATTTTGAGAAAATTTCCATGAAGCCCCCCCCCCCTGCCCCCTTAAACGAATTCTCAACGAGTACAAGTAAGTTTAATTAAGTAAGTTATTAAGTAACGAGTACAAGTAAGTTTAATAAAGTAAGTTATTAAGTAACGAGTACAAGTAAGTTAAACGAGTTCTCAACGAGTACAAGTAAGTTTAATTAGGTAAGTTATTAAGTAACGATTACAAGTAAGTTAAACGAATTCTCAACGAGTACAAGTAAGTTTAATTAAATAAGTTATTAAGTATATTAAGTAACGAGTACAAGTAAGTTAAACGAATTCTCAACGAGTACAAGTAAGTTTAATTAAGTAAGTTATTAAGTATATTAAGTAACGAGTACAAGTAGGTTAAACGAGTTCTCAACGAGTGCAAGTAAGTTAACTTATATCGTGGTTTCTTATATTTGCCCCATTCACATAGTTGACAAATACCTACACCTACCTGTGTTGAGATTCGTTAAGCTTTAACAGGGCCTTAACATCGTGTGAACACCCTACAATCTACATAGACTCATAGAGGAGATGTCATTCCTCTATCAGAGCAGCGAGTTTGAGTTCTGAGGAGTGTAGCTCCTAATGGGCGGTGTATCGGGAAGAGATAGCATGAACTGGGTGAGCTGCCATTTGGTAGGTCCCGGCCGCCGATGTAATTCAGATGGTTAGGCATTGCATTCAATACTCCTTGCGGTGAAAGCTTTCTGTACGCTTTCAAGCTCCTGGATGTCACTTATCTTGAAGGGGTGCCAATAATTGGCACCGTGCCATAGCTGGTAACATTATTCAAGTAGAGTACGAACCATCGACTTGTAGGAGTGACCATTATGACTGGTGATCTGGTCTGAAAAACACTGAAAAATCACGCATCTTTTTGTCGAGCCTTGTCGGCTATGGTCAAAATAGATCGTTGGAGACGTGAACCCCGAGGTCTCAACCTACAGTTTCGAGTGACTTGTCTTTGAATAATGATAAAATTAATATTCATCAAACCCAGACAATAATGAATAAATCATATATATATATAATAAAGACCCTGGTCATTAGGAAAGTTCGCACGAGATGGACCACGTTTTTCCAAATTTAACTTTAGAATATTGTCACAAGAAGAACTTTTAAGATAGGCATATGATATTTCACGTGTCTATAGTTCAACTAATTGAATTTTGATTTACATTTTGTTTTCTACTGACAGCTTCCAAACATGCAATAAAAGTTTAAACGTGTTTAATCGATTCATCAGATCTCACTCTTTCAGGAATTGAGGGGAAAATGAGGCTAACAAGTCTTTTCTAATTTTTGAATTATATCTGAATAATAATGTGTATCAAAGTATCCTCCGACCTTAAATACATGAGATGGATGCTCTAGGTCGAAGGTCGGCCCAGCCGACTCCTTTTTTCCTTTTAGTGGAGGGCAAAGTGAGGATAACAGAACTTTTCTAATTTTTGAATTATGTTCGAACAATAACGTCCTTTAAACTATCCTTCGACTTGGTATACATTATGTGGATACTTTAACTTTTAAGTCGATGGTAGACTATACCTACCCTTTCTGTCTTTTGACGGAGGATAAAATCAGGCTAACTATCAAGGTTTTCTTCCTTACTTGTTCTACTGATTCTTCGGACTAGCCCTTCAAATTGTTTGAAAGCCTCTCGAAAGGTGGTTAGCCTCATTTTCACCTCTAATATTTAAAGCTTAGATCTCGATCAAGTATAATCACTATGGATTATACTTCCAACTTGGATATCATGGTCGTTTCATGAGAAATTTCTTTTGGAAAAGTGATGAGGCTAATTCGTTAGCCTCAATTGTCCCTCGCAGTTCAATCACTCCCACTGAGTCTCGTGAGTGAGCTAGGAAGTCGCCGGACATCTCATTTTAAAGCCGTATCGATTCTCTATACGCATACCAAAAATCAAATGCGTAACTAAAACAGAAATGAAATTACAAACAGTCTTAAATTTGTTGTCAAAAACAAACTTTTAGGAGTGTTTCTAATGACCAGGGTCTAAAGTCAAATTTAATGATTTTTAAAATTTAATTTAATCTAGTTCCTGTGATCTTCTGATACGAGAATTGTCTTTGAAAATTTTGTATGTCCAAATCCATCTTTACTGATTGATTCTGCTGAAACTAGATCAGTCAGTTAGCTGCCTATTCAATGACATTACACCATATTAGTGAAGGAAGCCACCTTCCAGCTTCTAGCTTTACTAGACTCTTCTAGACGATATGTCTTATTTGATGTGTCTTTTTATTTGATGTGTCTTTGACAGCAGAGATGAATCATCGAACCACCTCGGATCTAAGGGGTTATCGTTAGAGGAACTTTACAAAGAGATTAGCTGATAATAATATTCCGGTCTGTGGTTCACCCAATGTGTTAAATAGCAGCCAGAGCGTCGGCTACCCCCGCCATTCTCCGTTATATTATCAGAATACCACACTTAAAGTGTGTACTGTGTATGAAACACGCCACTGATACACCATACATCCTTGTATTCGGTAAGTTGTCGATGACAGGGGGGTGGGAGAATTATTTCTCTCTCTCTCTCTCTCTCTCTCTCTCTCTCTCTCTCTCTCTCTCTCTCTCTCTCTCTCACCCTATTTTACAACTTTCTTCTTTGTACTTTTATTTTTGATATTTGGCTGTGACTTCCCCTGGTTCCATGCTGAACTGTGCGGTCTGATCTTTCGATTTTAATGGCTCCACACTCCACAGTCCACGCATATTGCAGATGGGGCGGGTGCCAAACTTGAGTCAAGGGACTACCGATGACCACGAATTCTCTGCAGTCCCACAACATTTTGTTCTGTTAATTAGCATTATCTTTACTCGAGCATCAAAATATAAATCTAGATATTCATTCGATTAAAATTTAATAATTATAATTTATATGCCAGAGATTGTCATAGATTACAGTCCCATTAAGAGCTGATCAGTTGCAGCTACTTGTGCCATACGAAAGGGATACCTGAGGTATCACGACCACCGATCCTATCACGCGACCTTGATTCGTAAAATCTCGGTCACGTGATCAGATTTGTAACGTGTCGCATGTTGCCTGGTTAAATGCAGCATTTTTCGTCGCAATAAAAGAAAGCGCCTACTGACCTACTGATGTATCAAACCGCATAGTTCTGGCGTCGAAGCTCCGTGGGAAGCAGAATATTAGGATATTAATAATAATTATAATAAATAGTAGTAGTAGTAAATCTTTCAAAGTACGAAATATCTCTTTAAAAGAGCATCCTAGGCACCTTATAGATATCAAAACGCATAAAAAAGAAAACAAAAACATCAACCATCTTCTAACTTCTTCCACTCCTCCCTATCTAAAGCTAAAAATCTAAGGTCTTCGAAATCAGTCAAATTCTTAAGTCTAATATCAAGATTTCTACTAGTCAAGTCTTTTCTAATAACATCTAATAAGTTTAAACATGGTCTACCCCGTCTCCCTTCCATAAAAATATCAGAATTTATAGCAAATAACATAGAGGTGTATGCTGGTGAGTCTTCCTGTCCTCTTAAGATATGTCCTAACATTCTCCATCGAAACTTAGAGACTCTCACAGACAAGGGAGTGACATAACAACGAGCATAGAGTGCCTCATTAGAAATAACCCCAGTAGGCCATCTGATGTTGAGGATTCTTCGGAGGTGTTTGCGATGAGCAATATCAAGTTCATTCAACGAAGCTAGTGGTGCAGCCCAGGAGTTGCAGTTGTAGAGTAGAATAGAGACTACTTGTGCCTCGTAGATTTTGATCTTCCTTTGGACTGAAATCTTGCTCTTCATCCAAACTTTCTGAAATTTACTAAAGGCAACATTACCAAGGAATATTCGATTCTTGATATCCTTAACAGTGCACATCAACGATCCTAAAGTTTTGTTAGAGCGCCACTCTTCATCACCTCTATACACTTTTCCAACAATCACCTTGCGTTTAACAGTGGGTTTAGGATCTGCTAAATAAAAATGGACAAATTCAGTCTTGGAAGAATTGATATGAAGGTCCCACTGCTGGAATATATCTTTAGCGATAGGAAGCATTTCTTTGAGTGGAGCAAGTTCAGTGTTATTAAAGTCAATATCATCAGAGTATCCTGTTTCGAGTGGCATGAATTCTTCTGAGATAGGAGGATTAGGGATTGGATGATTCACTGGGTAAGGTGTTGATGATACTTGGGAGAGTACAGATCTGAGGTGAATAAGTGCAGCGGCTTCAACAACAGTAAATAGATTACCTGATAGTGCATCTCCTTGAAATGCTCCAGTTGTGCTTTGGAACTCAATTGATACAGTATTATTGACTTTTACTTTCAACACTGTGTTTGATAGTAGGAGCCGTACCATCCTAATTTCATCACTAGTACAGCCAGCATCTTCAAGAACATTGAGTACTGTTTCTCTGCTGATGGTGTCAAAGGCACTTGACATGTCTATACTCATTCTGTGGTAGCTCCAATGCTTTCTAAGTACCACTGAGGTTAGCATACGTTGAGACCAAATTATATCGCCACAACTTCTACCTCTCTTGTAAGCACTTTGTGTAGGACCGGTGTACTGATCTAGCTTGCCTTGGATACGTTTTAGGGTAATCATTGACAGTAATTTTCTGGAGCAGTTTGAGAGGGTGAGAGGTCTGATGTTTGCTGCTGGACCAAGTGGTTTCTTAGGCTTTTGGAGTGGAGTAATGTTGCCTTTTCCAATAGATGTTATGGTGGTGTTTGTTTCAAATGCGGTATTTATACAGTCTGCATATTTCTGAAATACACTTCTGTTTGCATACTTAATCAATTCACTTGGGATATCATCAGGCCCAGTGGCTCTACCATTCTTCAAAGCTTTAGCAGCTATCTCAACTTCAATAGCAGTAATAGGGTCAGCGAGAGGACTAGGTTGATCAAAGAAAGTGTCAATAGGCTCAACTGTATGTTTTGCAGTGAACTTCTCTTCAAAGTGGTTCTTTAGTGTAGCAGCTTTTCCAGTGTCTGTACCTATGAAGTTAGAGTTTTCATCATGCACACTTATGGTTGGAGCACGTTTGATACCTGCTAGTTGGCGAGTGGCTGCAAAGTATGCTCTAGAACTATCAGTTTCGTTTATCTCTTCAGCAAGAGTGTCTGCATGCTCTTCTTGAAGGAGCTTGATTCTCTTACGAGTGTCATTTTGAATACGATTGATTTTGGTACGTATAACTGATCTATCTTCAGAGGTGTTGTTCTGATTGAGTAGAGCTTGTAGAACTTTCTTTTCATCAGACATCTCTCGAATTTCAAGGTCATTACAAAAGTTTTTAGGGCGTTTCCTAGGAAGGTATCCAATACTAACCTCAGCAGCTTTATGTACATTGTGAAACAAACTATTCATTTCTTCCTCAGGGTTAGGATTAACAGGGCTGTCTGTTAGAATATCATTCAATGTGTTGTTGTAATGCATTTTAGCAGCAGGATTACTGACAAGGGTTGTGATATCAAAATGCATTTTAGGTTTCTGTTTGGGGAAGACAAGGTGAGCGTCACTGAAGTTGAAACGTGTAATAACAATTTTGTGATCAGATTTAACAAGAGTACCCCCATAACTTCGAGAATTCACTAAAAGTTTCTTCAATCGACTGCTACATAGGACATAGTCAATTTGAGAGTAGTAGGGCAAAGTGCGATGTGAGTTTTTAGGAGCTGAGTAGTCTTTCATAAAACCAATTCTTGTTGTTATATGACGGACAGGGTGCTGGAAGCTAGTGTTGCAAGCAAAAAGTTTTTTATCAACAAGAAAATTAAGAAGATGCTCTCCATTTGAATTCCTCTTTCCAGACCCATACATACCCATAAAGTCATTATACCCGAAAACAATATCTGAATGAGACAATTTACCGAGTCGAGAGTTGAAATCTCCAAGAATATATAAGTCCCAACTTGATGGGATATCAACAGCTTTGCCAAGAAACTTGTAGAAATAATCACGTCTCTGCGGATACTTATCACAATTTACTTGAGTGTGTCCATAGGCATTGATAACACGGCAAAGTCTTGGTTTACCTGATTTACTTGGTATCTCAAGATCTAGATAAGCAACCCTGTCACTGATACTGTTGTAACACTTGATGTAGTTGGTATAGACTGAATTTACAAGAAAACCAATACCTGCTTGCCACTTATTGTCAAATTGCTGAAAGTTTATGAAGCGATATTTGTGTGATTTCCCATCATCATCTGTAAAATGCAAAACTGAATCCTCAAAGTGACGACATTTTGTTTCTTGCACAGCGAGAATGTCTATTTTACGATAATAGCAATCTCTCAAAAGTTCATCCCGTTTAACTGGAGAAGTAATACCCAGGACATTAAAAGTAGCTAGAGTGAAGATTAGTGCTGTGCTTCTTCTTTTGCGTTCTGATGTAGATAATCTACTCTGTACGTTGCCGCCAGAGCATCTGCCGAAATCACTCGAACAGGCCATCCTAAAAATAATAAATAATTAATATAAATATTTATAATAATTATATATATTATAAATAATAATAAAGGATTTATATTACTATATTAAATGTAATCGGACTTTTGATAACATCATTATAATACATATTATGTTAATTATAAGGCTATGGTTCTACTTAATATGTTGCTTGTAATTATAACTTGCTTGTAATTATAACTCTAGGCGTTACTAGCCATTCCTTTTTAAAAGTCTTGTCCAATCAAAACATTCTTTCGAATTCTTGTCGAATTCTTGTCGAACTTTTTGTCACATACTTGTTTAATCGCCCCCACTTTATCTTCAGATCGTCGGACAGCGTGTTAGAAAACTTCTCTCCTAATCGGAAGACTGCTTATGAGGGTGATCTGTATGAGCCCAAGGGTAGCAGAAGCAACTCTAACAACCCGCAGGTCTGTGTTTGTTTTGTGCGATTTTACAATTATTCAAGTTATTAAAACTTCTCAGTTCCCAGTCAATCGCAAATCTGCCGTTTTCTGACAAATGTGCTTGAAGAACATTTTTGAAGTTCTGTATTCTTTAATTCAAATACAGCCCACACCCAGAAACTTCCTTATATGTGAACGCCTAAAATGACAAAATTGGTCAAAAATGTAACAAAACTGCTTAAAAACGTGGGATTTTTTAGTGGTCTTCAAGCACTTTTGACAGAAAACGTCAGAGAATCAACTTACAATTTTATCTAGTTCCTAATTTTTTCGATTTGCCTTGCAATAGTATATTAACTCGATTTCTAAAATAAGCGGTCTAACAAACGATACTAGTGGTTAAAATAGGATACCTAAAATGTATCAAGAGTAATACAGTAGGAAAATCCGTACCAAAGAAAGAGTCCCCGAAAGTTTCTCTTACTGCCACTGAATACTACTATTCACGTGACACATATGCCGGTCACGTGTAGTCAGTATAGCTTACGTTGCAATTATCAAGCTCTCTTATCAGCTTTTGTAACTTGCGATAAGTTCAGTTTGCTGCTACCGCGTAGTTAGCCTTTGCGTGTGTACTTGTATATTCCTATACAAGTACACTATGTAGGATGATCTGAATGTGACCCAATCTCTGGAGAAAATTCAATCATTCAATTATGAAGAACAGAAAAATTTGGAGGACAGTGTTACTAAGTGGTTCATTGCGTTGGGAAAAGAACTGAAAATCGACAACGTCTATAATAATTGTGGAGATATGGACAGAGAAATATTTATGGCTCCATCTGTTTATAAAAAGCATCTGGCACTCCGGATTGTGGAAGCAATGGACCTCGTTCAACGGCATGGCAGGAATGCCAGATGGCTAAAATGACAGAGATGATATATTTCTTGAAGACGGAAGCGTTAGAAGACAAGGATAAGGTGATCAGGCTGCAGGGCCAGCTGCTTGTGCAGAAGGACAAAGAACTACAGTTGTTTAAGACGTCGGTTAAGGAGACAGTGCAAACAACGGTGGAGTCAGGGATTCAGAGCTACAGTGCAGCTGTACAACAGAACAGTGCAAGTGGTACGGTCTGCAACAGTAACATCCTGAAGAAGGTGATGAAGAGCGTGGCTGCAGAGGAGGACAGGAACAAGAACCTGATTGTGTTTGGGTTGAAAGAAGAAGAGGGAGAACAGCTTCCAGCGCTAGTAACCGCAGTTTTGGAGGAGATTGGGGAGAAACCTCACTTCGAAGCGACTAGAGTCGGCAGGAAGAGGCCAGGTAGTACGGCTATCCGACCAGTCAAGATCACTGTCCCAAGCTCAACAGCAGTTCATCAGATTCTGATGAAAACAGGGAGACTGAGGCTAGTTGAGACCCACAAAGATGTATGGATCTGTCCAGATAGATCTAGCGAAGAACGAGTAACGAGGAAGCATCTGGTCACTGACCTGAAGAAGAAGAGGGCTGAACAAACTCATCTCGACCACTATATCCGGTAGGGGAAGGTCTGTAGCCGTGATAAGAAGCCACCATGAAGCAATTCATGTCTCTTGGACACTGATCAGTATTTGAATGAGTAATGTGTATCTTAACGTTATCTGTCTTTGAGAGACAATTTTATAATTTACATACTCTATTTTTTATTGTTTCACACTTCATATTTCATAATTTTATTACTAGGTGGAGGTGATGTTATTGAGATTTTGGGCGGCCATAAAACTCGTGTTTTGAAAGTTGTCCTCTGTACTTGTTTTGCTGTACATTTGTATATTTTCTATTTTGTAAAAGTTTCAAATCAAAAAATCATCTTAAACTAATATCATCCAAATAGGGTACAACTAAACATGTCAATCTGTAGAGTAAACAAAAGAGGTGGAAAATAAGCCTAATTAAGGAAAGTGAGGTGTAAACAGCTTGCTAACCGTGTGTAATGAGGTTTAGAACAAAAGGCCAATAAAACCAAAGGAAGAAGAACTAGTAGTCTAAAATGACGTGTACACTCGTGAAAGGAGAGTACAACGTTTCACGAACTTTTACCACATTTCCTGTATTGAAACAGTTGTAATAATATGAAATCTACTTCAGAAGTTTGTTGGCAGTGACGTTTGTTTCCCGCGAGTTCACATGATAAACCAGAATCTGAAACGCCGCTGCCGCGAGATTAACACCGCGTCCAACAAAAGGGTAAGTGAAAATCTATTCTAATTAACTTTTAAACTTATAATCAAAGGTACTCATGGTAGTGTAATATCCGGAATAGAAACATTACGTATGAGTCGCATTGATGGAAAATTTCTGATGATTCCGTATTTTTATTAATACGTATTACAAAATAAGATATGTATTTATTCAAGCGAAGTGACATATTTAATTTCTAAGCATATTTTTCTGTACAGAAAAATATGTATAAAAAGTTAATTTTTACCGAATTATAAGCTTTTTGAAAATGTCTGAGCACACGTTTTAAAAAAGAAATCGTCGCATTTTAAGCGTATTTAACATGACGTGTCACTGTTAAGAGGAGATAAGGGGAAGGTCATGTATTTTGAATAAAAATACGCGTACTTTCTTCAGGACTTCATACATACGTATTTTTGCTTAAATTCAACGTATTTAACAACCTTGATGTTAATCTGTTGAGCTGTCCAAGTAGTGCCCACTAGTCCCGCACCACTGTATAGTGTAGGGGATAGTGTAGTAAACAAACAAGCTTTTTGTTTACATTAGACGCTCTAATAAAAACACCAGGTCCTGCCACCTTCACACCCGGGTGAAACAGCAGACTCTAAATTGCTTTTCTTTGAAATGTGTGTTTTTACCTCTCCAAAAACTCGAATCTTTTATTATTACTGATTAGTGATTTGCGCAATTTTTATTAAAATTGATCTTTGATTTTGAGTTGTTCTTGCAGATCCTCATTTCGCTAATAGCAATATTCATTAATTTCCTGTCTCGCCTTAGCACACTGTAACCACATGACCTTTTCAGAAACACGAGGACGTGGTTAACTGCAACGCTGCCCCAGAAGAGATATTCAGTTTTGTGCTAAACTTTGACGTGTCGTACGACGTACGTGCACCGTGGAACAAGTTTGTGGAGGATGGGGCTGCTGCGCGGCGCAGCCTCAACCTTCAGACCTGCTCCAAACCTGTGGCTATCTTAGTGCACGCGTAAGTTTGCTTCTTACTCAGGGTAAGATAAGATACATGACAGTCCAGGTAGCATTGGAGTATTATTATATATAAGAGGGGACTACGGCTGGCAGAAATGTGTTACGTAATGTTGTGTACAGCATTTTTCAAAATTTATTTACAAATAAATTTTGAGATTATTACAATAGTTGCACCCACATAAATGTTAAGGAGACCGTCCACGTCAGTTGAGTTTATGGTAACAAGTATTACACTCTTCCTCCTCCTCCTCCTCCTCCTCCTCCTCCTCCTCCTCCTCCTCCTCCTCCTCCTCCTCCTCCTCCTCCTCCTCCTCCTCCTCCTCCTCCTCCTCCTCCTCCTCCTCCTCCTCCTCCTCCTCCTCCTCCTCCTCCTCCTCATCCTCCTCATCCTTCTCATCCTTCTCATCCTTCTCATCCTCCTCCTCCTCACACAATCGTGTAACCATGTATATTTTACGTAACACAGTAATTAACTACATCGTGTAACGTGCATACTCGGAATAATATGTAATATGTATCATATTTTGTTGCATATTATATATTATATGCATAGATTAGATTCGTCAGTTTCCTTCATCATTGTATTCATTTGCCGGGTCCTTACGATTTATTGCAACACCTGGTGTTGACTAAATTTCATCATAGTGATTGAAATTAAAACCTTAAATCGTGTGGCTAGTAAAATTTACAACGGTTAACGTGTACTGTTACAGCATTTAGCTCTCTGTTTTTAAGCCACTGTGTCCCAGAATGTACTATCTGACTTGAATTAAGAACGTATTATCCGCTGCTATTAATAGCACTAAAGATTGCGTGTCCACTTCAATCTTTACTACAACTTTATAATTACTTGATCAAATTGTATGTGGTAGTATATCATATATCATTTTAATCAACTTTTCTTCAATTTCGTCTCATTTCTTTAGAAATTGTTTCTCGTCAACATTTGAACTCTAAAATCCGAATGTAAGTCTATCTTCAGGAGCCAGAAACCGTTAGCAGAAGGAAAGCTGTTTTGGTGTCGATTCAACCCGAAGTGGTACCTGCCTCTTCACGAGGAAACTAGTGTGACTGCAGAGAACTTTAAGAAAACTCTTTATGAGTGAGTTTTGTATTTCAGTTTAAAACTTTATCCTATCAACATTACGTCCGGGGTGGTATCTTTATCTCTTTTACTTTCGTGCTCAGCAAACCCTCGATCTTTGCTTCCATTGCATATTTCCAAATAAACTACCTTCTTAATGTCGTTCTGTACGAAAGAAAATAGCACTCCATTAAATTAACAATAAACTGTCTCCGAAAAACTAAAACACACAAAACTTTAAATCCAGGTACACGTTTGACAACTTCGGGCGGGAACTATCAGGGAGAGAGTTGGATTATTTGATGAGCCAGATCACTCTGGACCACCGTCAGGGACACAAGCTCGTCGCCAAATCGGTAATTTATTATTCGTTATGTGTCCAGTGGGGAGGTGGATTATCACTGCGAAGTACTGTACAGTGTACTGTGAATGTACCACACGATGTTTTCAATCCACTAATCATTAAGCAAGGTCGAATCCCAAAGGTGCATGCACTGTGAACTCTGTTCGATTAGTATTTACTATGCATACTGGCACTGCACTGTAGAATCCAAACTCAGGTTGGTGCTAATCCTGTTTAGTATTGGAATTTGGAAGTATTGGAACCATAATAAATTTGGGTCCTGATTAGCTCTAGTGTAAATTTGGGTAAATTTTCGTTACAAAGTTTTAACAAGATTGAAATTTAATTTTCCCCCGTCAAGACATCCGCACTATCCGCGCCCCGTAACTCTTACCGTTTTCTTGATTAAGCTGCTCAAGCCATTTTATGTAACATTTGTGGTACAAAACCATCAATTATACCACTAACCACCGACCGATTTAAAAAAACTTTTCCCGTGGCTTCCTCATAGTTTTGTCGGACCTATACCGAAAAAACAAGCACCGTTACTCTTACCGTTTTCTTGATTAAGCCGCTCGGAAATTACACGCAGACAGACAGACAGACAGACAGACACACCTTCTGAGATAATTGTTGAGATACCCTGTAATACAGATGTGATCAAGATATTGGTACTGACATACTATTTAGATACTGGTGGTGGTTAAGAATTGGAATGTCATAATTTGCTGAAAGATTCGTTACTTTAATAAAATTAAATACCCTTGAGGGTAACGAAATATCCAGGAATAAGTAGTTATGTCCATTGTCCATTGTCCATTCATTTCTCTAAAATGTAACTAATATTATGTTTCTACTTGATATGTCTTTCCGGTATTCTGCTTTTCTGTTTTATTAGTATAACATTGAACTGCATAATCTATTTCCGTATTTCATAAATTAAAATATTATTACCCGTGTTTAGTCATATGCCACCTGAATATTCCGAGCATGAACAAATAATTAACACAATAATGAACAAATAATTAACACAGACGTTTCTAGTGAATAAATCGAGTTACCAATATTATTTAGTGTTGTTTCATCGCCACACACGAGAGTGTGGAAAATTTCAAACAATCCTGAAGGAATTTTAACGATAAACAACCTCTCATCCACTTTTAGACATTTTGACGCCTGTAACAAGTGACCCACATTATTATAAGCTTTACAGGTATTTTTATGAATAATCCTCCCCTTAATTTACATTCCTTTCTGTACCTCTTTCAAGGCAATAGAGGAAATTCTAGGGGACATTTTAAAAATAGAGATGAGATAATTTGTTAAACCCATCACAGTAATTCTTATTCAGAGTAAGTCTTTCAATTTAACCATTTCAAATTTTTAACATCTGGAAAGATTTGTTATTACAGTCGCCACTCACGAGAATATTACATTTTCGGCAGAATATTTAATGTAAGCTAACGCTAATTTATATTTATTCAAGATTTAACAACCCTTTGGTGGCCCAGAAGTAACTGCCCACACGCAACCCTTTAATGACTCACGTAATTCGTGTCAGAATTGCACAAAAATTTCAGAGAATATAGATATGGGTCAAACTTAAATTTCCTGAAATTTTCGTAAAATTTCACTGAAAATTTTACGAAACCATACAGTAAGAACGTTTTCACCTAGGAACTCCAAAGTCTTTAGACACATTTGGTTTGATAATCTAACCGAGTTATGACCCTTTTAAGATCTTGCAGACAGCAGATATGTGATTTCTGCACTCTGCATATACTTAATGAAGGCGAATATTATGTATATTGATGGAGGTCTCATTGCAATAACTAAATTGATTAATTAATTAACGTATCTCCTTGCCAGGTTCTGAAGGACGAGGCGCAATACACGGAGCCCTCAGAAAACCCGCCCAAAAGAAAGTCATTCTGGTGTTGGTTCTACGATATAGTGGTGTTCCTGGGGAAGGGGAAAGGAAAGCCCGCCACCAAATGCAATCAGGACGTGAGTAACTCTTCTCAGTTAGTTAGGATTTTACTTGTAACCGTGTTAGGACGCGTATTTCACATACTTTGTAACTGTGTCTGGACTCTGGATGATTGGGCTAGACCGTGATAAGAGTGGTCAGGTGGTTGGCCGGTTGGGTCTGATAAACTGATGAGATGTAGAGTTGTTAATTACTACTGGCGGGTGATGCGACGCAAACAATATTAATTCTTTATTGTGGATGGACTTTGGTTGGCACTTGGCATTTCAGTAGCAACAGCTGTGAATTTTGAAACTGATATTTTTAGTAATCAGATATGGAATGCCGACCCGATTCACGCGCTGTAGTACTAGTTAGACACGCAGTCTAGTTCGACACGCAGTCTAGTTAGACACGCAGTCTAGTTCGACACGCAGTCTAGTCCGACACGCAGTCTAGTTAGACACGCAGTCTAGTTCGACACGCAGTTTAGTTCGACACGCAGTCTAGTTCGACACGCAGTCTAGTTCGACACGCAGTCTAGTTCGACACGCAGTCTAGTTCGACACGCAGTCTAGTTCGACACGCAGTCTAGTTCGACACGCAGTCTAGTTCGACACGCAGTTTAGTTCGACACGCAGTCTAGTTCGACACGCAGTCTAATTCGACACGCAGTCTAGTTAGACACGCAGTCTAGTTCGACACGCAGTCTAGTTCGACACGCAGTCTAGTTCGACACGCAGTCTAGTTCGACACGCAGTCTAGTTCGACACGCAGTCTAGTTCGACACGCAGTCTGGTTCGACACGCAGTCTGGTTCGACACGCAGTCTAGTTCGACACGCAGTTTAGTTTGACAACTTTTGTTCTCGCCAGAAAACACAAAATATATCATCATGAATATCTCTTTCCCCCCTTGAATATCTCTTTCCTGAACATTCGGTTGTCGTCAGCTGTTTCCACGGCGGATTGTAACAATGGACCACAATTATTGTTTAGCATACAGCACACTGTCTATAAACACTTTGAAAACCTTTCTCTAGGCACACTTCTCTGGCTCGGTTTATCAAATCGCGCATCATCGTTGTGTTGACCACCGATTTTACTTCTAATCTCGATCTCCTTGAAAATACTGTCAGTCGCAATGTGTATCTGATTCACATATTCCGTAAGAAACTCGCCATTCTCAATCATAGCATCATCTACCATATCCAAGTGTTCATTCTGTAGCGGAAAAGGCATCGTACACGATGTACAGAAAATGTACAAACAATGTATTCAAATCTACAGAGCTAGAGAGAGATAATTCAACACGCACACAAAACTACTGATAACAATGCTGGGGTTCTAAGGTTAGTGAGTTAGTAGAGGCTCTTAGAGCCTTTCCTTTGTTGTAAAGATGGCTAGTCCCTTCCTTTGCATAGGTTAGAAGCACCCATGCACCTCCCGTTCGAGCCACCCGCCCCACACCGCGTGGAGGTTCGGTGAGGTTTTCGTGCGGCCCCACACGGACTTATACGGAGCATTCGTAAAATGTGAACCGTATTAATATTCAATCGGTACCGCATGAATTAATTTTATCTGGGTCGTAAATAAACAAGTCTCGGATACGGTTATAGTTGTCGGGAACCCAGTTACTTAATCGAATTTTTTCTGGGAAAAGTGTCTTGAGAAATCGAATTTGTTTGAGAAAATTTTGATAATAGTTTGTTGGTAATAGATTCTCGATAGAGGGGCTAGCCTCCCAGTGAGAAAAGAAAAAGCCCGCTCCAACAGGCTGACGGAAAATTTTGTGCAGGAGTATAAGTAGTAGTACAGGGGAAAAAATACTTTGTAATGTAAGCCCAGTAATGAAAATATGTCATCATTTGGTAGTTAAACCGAATGAATTTTGTTCGAAGTGGGCTAGATTCTTTTACATACCGTAAGCGAAACAAGGCTCTTTGTCTCGTAAATAGAGTATCAGAGTACAAAAGGACAAAGGATGTAATATTGTGTGGGCAGTGCAGGTAGCAAAGAACCGATTGTGGCTAATGAGGGTTACATTGTTCTATCAGACGACAGCCAGCAGCTGGTCTCCATTTTCACTATACCCACTAACTTTCCAGTGTCCTTGGGTAAAGATTATTTGCTGGACTGTAATATGTGTAGATTATATTTATCCCCCTACGAAAGATGTGAACGTGTTAAAGAGGTTTTGAATTTCCGCGTTTACTAATGTTTTGTTGGTCGTTTGTAAGTTTTTATTAAATGTTTGCTAAATTTTGTTAAAGACCAGGGATTTCTAACATATGACCTGCAAATCATCGAATAACTTGCACAACTTGAGGTCGTAACAGTCGGAGTTTCTTTGTATCTTCCTGTGATGTGAGTGGAGTTCACATGGATATCGCAAAAGTCTTAAGTGGTGTTCCTCAGGGAAGCGTTTTTGGGCCGCTTCTCTTTATCTTGTTCATCAATGATCTAGAACAAGTCGTGGTTTCATCTAGGGTGAGTTGTTTCGCTGATGATACTAGAGTCTCCAAACAGATTGGCTGTTTTGAAGACTGTCAGTCGTTACAAGAAGATCTCTATAAGATTCTTGACTGGTCACGTAGCAACAACATGAAGCTTCACGAGCAAAAGTTCGAGCTGTTAAATCACCTCCATAACAGTAAGAGCTCATTCCCCGAACTACCCTTCTTTGCCAAAACCCTGCGCTACAAAATATCCAGTCAGGACATGCTTTACCCTGTCGAGAACGTCCGAGATCTTGGATTTATGGTTTCAATTGATCTTAGCTGGTCGACACATATCGGCAACATGGTATCCAAATCAAGGAGCACGTTATCTTGGGTATTCAGTGTCTTCAAAACTCGTGACAAGACCGTAATGACTACTCTCTACAAGTCACTAATAAGAAGCCTACTGGAGTATTGCTGCCCACTCTGGAGCCCTACCAAGGTGACTGAAATAAAGCTGATAGAATGGGTGCAAAGAACTGTCACCAGTCGTTTTGGCGGTCTTCAGCATCTCAACTATTGGGAAAGATTCGCACAGCTTAAATTGATGTCTCTACAGCGCAGACGGGATCGGAGAGGTCTATCATCCTGATGATGTGGAAGATTCTCCATAATGTGGTACCAAACTGCTGTGATATCAAGTTCAAGGTGTCCCCAAGACACGGTGATGTAGCTATCATACCCTCATAGTCAAAGTCAAGTTCCTTACGCAACCAGTCACTGTACGACAGATCTTTTGCAGTTCAAGGACCGAAGCTGTGGAACAAGGTGCCTCACACAGTAAAGGCTGATACATCCTTTGACATGTTTAAGTGTAGTTTGTCGAACTTTCTTGCTTTGATACCGGACAACCCTCCGGTCGCCGGCTACAGTTGCAGTTGGTAAAACTCACTGGTTGACTACTCGCCATCCAGGTGGTTAGATATCTGATGACCCTTCCGGCACCACGGATGAACTCAACAAAGTAAGTGACAATTACTGGGATCAATAAGTTAACCAAAATAACCATTATTTCCTCTCCGCTCTCACGTGATATAGTTTTAACCTATCATAGGATCAATAGCAATCTTACTTTATTTTCTGCAGTAACTCTTCCAACAGCTGTTTTCCCGTACGTACGTGTATTTTTTCCGTTCACCCTTTTGTAAAAAGGCAATAGTGAAAGGTTACGAATGGACTTTTTTGCAGAAAAACGTGGATTTTGGAGATATATCAGTAGGTGGGTCTGAATATGTTGTCATCTGTCCTTACTTCCGTCCGTTACCATGACAACTAGCGCGCAGTGCAGCGCGCGAGTATTGCTTGCGGAGATGTGATGTATATATGATATAGCTAGCCTGTCAATGAATGCGCGGCGCGAGTGTATTTTAATGTATACTATGCAATGTATAGTATTAGGTTATAACTATAAGCCCAATTTGTACGTGGCATGCGTAGTATTGTGTACTGACGTGTATCAATATTATTTTTATGAAGTGAGCTGATTGTAGCTTTATATAGTTATAGTGAACGGAAATCTAGCGTCCGCCAAAACGAAACAACGGGCGCAATTCTTGTTGACCTTGCGATTTTGATTTTTGGCCAACTCCAGGAGAAGCGAAGAATAATCTTGTTCGGGAAGTTGTTTTCGTCAATGACTAAAAGACTAAGTTAATCTTGATAAAGTACGAGGTTTTGAACCTTTACATCAGTTTGTCGTTCATCTTTTTAGGATTTATTGTAATAATAGCAATCATTGCACTGGGCCTCATTTGATGATTCTTTCAAGAAAATTTCTGATTTTTTTCTTTTGAATAGATTCACTGATATTTTAAGCACTCACTCTATCAAGAACAATGTCAGAAATTTCCTGTAAAAGAAGCTTTATTTAGCCTATTTAGTCTCCAAACTCCAATACTGAAAAAAAATCCTGGCTCAGCATTACAAAGCTGAATTACAGTATCAATTACGACCGCAGATACCCGATTATTTGGATAAAACTTTTTTATATGTATGAAAACGGTTACGATTTTTTTACTCGAATAATTGATTGAAATTGAAAAGAGAGAGCGAACACAATGTGTAACATGTGCATGTGTTACACATGAGAACACATTTTATTTTACCCTACTATTCAGGCGTTGAATTAGCGTTGGTAGGTACTAAAAGACTAAAGGACAGAAGAAACATATGAGTGCGGGAAAAATTTAGCGACAAGTGCGATCCCACACATGTCTAAAATAGCTTAATTTGCGGCAAATTTTGTGCATAGTGTGGTTTGAGTACAGTGAATATTTGCGAAATGTGGGGCGAGTTCTATTCAATTAGGTAGGCCTTTCTGTATTGGAAAGCTGCTCAAACATTACTACATGGGGCTATGTTAATAATGCTATCTATAAGAACGAACGAGTAATTACACGGCTTACAGAACAGTTTTCCTCAACTTCCGTAAAGGGAGAAACTAAATTCCTCAGCTCTAAATGCAGCCGAAATATCCTCTTGTCTAAAACTTTGGCTTTTCAGGAGCCGGCAAACTACTGCTAAGATTGGATGGTGCAGGACGTTTTAAAAACGATCCATGATTAGCAATAAATTAGTGTGAAAGCAGACAATTTATCAATGGGCAGATCATTCAAAATAAGAGACTAAGAGATTAAGAGACGAGCAGATAATGAAACAAAAGTTGCACTTATTAATAAAATAATAAATGACATTTCTACAATATAAATAAATTTGTCATTGTTCCCATTGTTCTCTATAAACGGAAATTTGTAAATCCTTCTTCGTAACGAACAGTAGAATGATGATCTCGGAAGGTTTATTATTATCACAAGGTATATTTTAATATATATATTTCATAACTTACATAAGCATTAAGCAATGTATGAGTGTGGGGAAGGTGTTGGCAAAGTTTGCGAGTGCATTTTCTACACAATATTAGCCAAAAATAGGATGGGGGTCTGAAATTTTGGAAATTAATTCAGTTATTGCAAGTAGTAGGTACTCATCTCAATTAGTTTGTTTACGATCCACATTCCACAAGAATCCTTTATTAGTTCCCTTTTTGACAATTTTTGTTTTAGAAAAAAATGTATATGGGCAACCTGTTAGCAGTAAACACATTACGATTGAATTCTGCACGAGGAAATACGATTATAGTATCATTTAGGACCGCAGCCACCATATTAGACGTGTTAGATTTTTTTCCAGACTAAAAAGTCAGTTGTATGCAATTTAAGATATTTGACAGATGACTGATTGTTTAAATTTCAGAACCCACTGAAGAAACACTGGAGGGACGGGCGGATCTGTCTGCTCTCCAAAGCGGAGGCTCAGAGTATCCTCTCTAAACTCGGACCTGCTACTTCTGGAGCGGTTATTCGGGTTAGTCATTTTAGGAGTAATACTTTTACTTTACCTTATTATTGCTGTAAAACTTTTACTTTTAATTAGTGCGCTTACATACTACATAGTGTGTTATACTGGTGCTGGTACTGGTACTGGTACTGGTGCTGGTACTGGTACTGGTACTGGTACTGGTACTGGTACTGGTACTGGTACTGGTACTGGTACTGGTACTGGTACTGGTGCTGGTACTGGTACTGGTACTGGTACTGGTACTGGTACTGGTACTGGTACTGGTACTGGTACTGGTGCTGGTGCTGGTGCTGGTGCTGGTACTGGTACTGTTGTCCGGCCAATATACTCCGCTTATTTTTCAAATATCCAGGTCAATAGTTATTACGGTACGGTGAAAAATGTATCGTAATCATGATTCCATTGGTAGTTTCTTTATTCTACGGGATATTTGGTATTTGCCAGACACCCCTTTGACAAAGTTTAATTCACCTATTTCTTTAATCGGACTTAGAGCAGTCTGCTGTAATTACGAGCCCCGGAAATATTCCTATAGTCACTAGTCAGTTCAGCTGATTTTTGTGTAGTTTACCCTAACTTTTACTAATAGCTAAACCCTGAGGTTAAGGTCTTATGTCTAACCTAAAGTCTATACCCTCAAAGGTCGGGCTTCTGTTTAATTTTGGAACATCACCATAGAACAGTTTATTGCAGTTTCTGTTACCCTCATCGCTGATCGTTCCTCCTGATTTGTTTTCAGCTACCGTGCTCGAGCAAATCTATTTTTTGCAATATTTTACATTCTGATATGCTAGGTGGAAAAAGTTTAATAAATAGAATCCAGCCGGTGTAGTCCAGTTCACATGAGACAACTCAAACTTCATTTTGGGACGATTTCGGCTGCCTACAAAGTACAATCGCAGGTGGTTTTCCAACCAGCTCGTGCTCACTCAATAAGCATTGGTAGTCACGTGACATAATAATCGCTTCTCATTGGCACTTCCCTGGTCACTTCCCGGGTCACTTCCCTGGTAAAGTACTCCAAGCTTCGCTATTTGTTCACGTCGGAATTTAAAATTGAGCGTCCATTGACTGTCCACGATTAAAGTTATTTTCCACAGCGCTAGGATTTTTTGATTGATTTATCAAGTTTATAAACATTTTGAGCTGTCACATATTCCATCAGAGATCTCCTCTTCCAGTCACATGACATAGGTTAACTGTCTGTTACCTGTTGATTATCTTTGAGGGAAGCGATCTCCATTTCACGTATGAATGATTTAATAAGTCGCGTAGCATGATTTTATTAGTCACGAGCCAGCGGGATCATATCTATTTTTGCTCTGGTGTTTGTCTAATATAAACTATTTTGTGGTTATATTGTGTAACATTATGCACTTCGGTATCGCTGTAAATTGTTGTCGCTGTAAAATGGTCCGACTGATATATAGCTAGTAAATAGGCCAATACGCTTAATATTAGGTCGCGAATTTAGAAATACATGCTCCAGTTCAGCAGTCCAAGCTGTTCTTACATTCTAAGTAAGTGTAACGCCGTTAGAGGGCTATTAGCTGGCTGTTAAGATCCCATCTACAGTGGTAACACTAATAGTATGGGTTACCAGCTTGGCTTTAATTACCAGTGTGGTAATAGGCTGCTCGATTATTTTTCTAAACTGGTAATGCTGGGGTATTACCAGTCTGACTGTCAGCCTATTAGCATGGTGAGGGGCTAGTATAGAGTTCTTTCCAATAATATATACAATTACCTGCTTGCTACTACCACCCACGTGATAAGCACGTGCAAGAATTAACCAGGGGGGGTAACAATCACTTCCTACCTATCACTCTGTACACTCTAATCTGACGATCACGCGATCAAGAGGCGAGGTAGTACCAGCCTGGTATTGTTTAAAATTTTACCAGGGTGTGGCCATCCTGGTAGCGTGATTTTGTCTTTCTAGACTAGCAATACTAGTATAGGTGTTACCACCCTGGTTATAGCCAGGGTTGTAACCCTTTGATCACCAGTCTAGAATGGGTAATATTGGATCTAAATCTATAAATAATTATACAAATCTATTGTTTTGATATATAGCTCTAGTTTCGCCCCTTGCTTACATTATCTCATGAGGGTTTAGGAAATATACAACTTTAAGACTGTGTTGTGGCATTCTTTTGTGGTCACCGATCTACACTGCTATAGGTGATGATGAATATTTTACACTGTTGATCTGTGTAGTCGGTTTTAAAACCATCCTCTCTTTGCACCTCATACTACACTTTTGATTCGTTATCATGTCTTGGCAGCTCAAGTTTAATATTTCTCCGTGATAAATATGCGGTCATTATTTTCTCTTAAATCGAATTAGCTTCACGTGAAGTAAGCATGTTCATTGGCCATTGCATGGCCGGTCATGAATCACGCTTATATTTCTTGCCGGTGTTAAAATATTATCAAGTGTCTCATTCCGCTAGTTTATATTCATTTATGTTGAATATTACCTACTCTGGAGTGTGGAGGCTGTAGAAGAGTCGTAGACTAACATAATGCTTATTTTGTAGGGACTTGTAGGAGTTTGGAGTTGCTTTTGAGTAAATATATACTCCCGTTGAATTTTTCCCTGACTTTTGACTTTTGATATAGCCGTACGTGTGCTGTGTGGAGATATTTCCTGATCGTATGTGATCTGCCAGGCCACCAACGGCCATATAATCTGTTTTCTGGCCTTTAAATCTAATCATGATTAAATTATTATAAATTAAAGTACCTTACAAGACATATTTATAACGTACGAAATGTGGCGGTTTTCCGAAAATTTCGCCATATTTTCGGACCGCCAAAATTTTGGTCGTCGTAATAGAATCCGTCGCATTATCTTTTAGCTTATTTCAATGACTGTGCCTTCACTGCTTTATTTTGTTTCTAAAAAGTAAAATAAATAAATAAATTCTGGCATCTTGGGACAAATTATCACCACACCAATGACGAATTGAATGTCAAGCAATACAGTTTAAATTTGCATTAAAATACATGTATGTGCTAACATAAAAGTCTTACAGTCTTAATACAGACTAAGTTTGAACATGATTTTACCGAATTTCAGAAATTTCCTTACTGCTTACTGGGCAACTTGTACGAACACCGATGGGACAGTAAGACAACATTAAGACACATTAAGACAACAATAAGACAACATTAAGACACCAATAAGACACATTAACACAAAAATAAGACAACATTAAGACACCAATAAGACAACATTAAGACAACATTAACGCAACAAACACCAATAAGACAACAAACGATAAGACAACATTAAGACACCAATAAGACAACATTAAGACAACATTAACGCAACAAACACCAATAAGACAACAAACGATAAGACAACATTAAGACAACATTAAGGCATCATTAAGGCAACATTAAGACAACATTAAAGCAACAAATTCGTTTAAGACAACAAATTATGTATAACAGTATAACACTATTTCTTCGAATATATTTTACTTTGTCAAATTATATTTTACTTCATCAACTGAGTTAGAGTAATACGAAATTGTGACTTAAACTCTGAAAATGAAATAATTAGGTCTCATTATTTATCAGGTAATACAAATCTACAGAGCAATAAATTAATCAAAAATTCTTCTGAATAGGGCTGGGATATCTTGGTTGAAGGCTTTCCTCACGGAGGCGTTGTCTCTTGTCAGTCCGTATCGCTTACACCACATAAATTCTGACAAGGCTACAGTCATGGCTGCTGAATCCGTTCGGGTACGACCGGTTCCTCTTCGCATGTGGTTCTTAGCGTGGAACCACATCCCTTCGCAGCTGTTGGTGTGAACACCAGTGACCGGGTCCACAAATCCTCGACTATGGTTGACAACTTGATGAGGAAATCCGTGGTGTTGCAGGGCGTTATAACCTTTCCACTTGTCGGTGAGAATAGTTGTACCCGGTAGAACGTGCTCCTTGATGAGTGTGATTAGGGTGTTGTGATCGCGTCGATTGCCGGTACACTCCACTAAGAAGCATTCGCCAGTAGTCCTACAGAACCCACCCAGCACCCATTTTCCGACTACACGTCGACCTCTGTTATATTTTCGTTTACCGAATTTGGATTCGTCAATCTCCACTATACAGCCGACCCCACCAATCTTTCTACGTGCACCGTTGTCGAACAGGTCTTCAAGCATGCAATTTCGGATCGAGGAGAAGATGGACCGTACACAGCCGGTGCTGATGGTTATGATCCGTGCTACGTCGCAGACACTCAGTCGGTTGCAGAACAGCCAGATGATGTGGAGGAATACGGAGAAGGGTAGCTTGCGTTTGTGGAGGATACTCCCGGTTCTCACTGAGCAGAAGTGGTCGATGTCTGAAGAAGTGTCTGAACACTGCCAGCAGTAGCCGTCTGTGTACTTGCTCGTTGGGCATTTCTTCAAGGTCATAAAGTTGTTGCACTCTTCACAAGTTTGGAAAGGTCGCAGCATTCCGATATCCAAGCAGTACTGTAGACATTCCGTTTCCGATGATAGTGATCCGCGTCTTAGCTCTTCGTAGGAGGGAAGGGAGTTCATGTTGTATCGTTAGATAAAGTGTTGGTTTGATGGCCTCTATTAATACTATTTGTCACGTGAGCAGAACACGAACATCGGCCTCATTAATACCAAACGATCTAATCATGACGTGAACTGTTCGATTAATACCACATTCCATAAGAACACGAACAACGGCCCTCATTAATACCACACGATCTGGTCATGACGTGAACTGTTCGATTAATACCACATTCCATAAGAACACGAACAACGGCCCTCATTAATACCACACGATCTGGTCATGACGTGAACTGTACAATTACAAGCTGCGATCTGAGAATCGCTAACAAGATGTTACATTATTATCTGAGGTGATTTGACATGTGATGCATCGTAAAAAGTTGAGTGAGCCAGATGTCATTTAAAGTCACGTGAGCCATGGTGATGACGCGATCCAGGAGAAGTGATCTCGCTAACAAGATGTGACATAACAGTAGTTATATAGTATATAAACGAATGGAACTCACAGTCGATATCAGTTATCTGAATCGTTTACTAATCACATCCATCTGACTTTTGTACAACTGCTATGGTTACTAGACGAGGAACCCGTTACAGCCGACCTACTCCTGCACCGAAGTGTGCCCATTGTGCTTCTACTGGACACGTCGCGACCTCCTGTCCTAGGACAAGTTACATCGCTCCTTCTCTTCCTTCACTCAAATGCTCCAGTTGCGTCCTTCTTGCCAGAAGTGGCTACTCTGATGAACCTCTTACCCATCAGATTATCCTTACTATCGACCCTTGCCTTGCTCATGCATCCTCAACATCTCGCCCTTCTAGACCTACTACCTCTCTTTCACGTCGACCTCGACTCAACCTCCCTGGCATTCCTCCCCCAGCTCCTAGACTGTCTTCTGCTCCATCCACTTCCTCAACTGCATCCAATCCTGCTTCCCCGCCACCTCCTGCAGCTCCAGCAGCTCCAGCAACCCCTCCTCCAGCAGCTCCAGCAACCCCTCCTCCAGCAGCTCCAGCAGCTCCGGCGACCCCTCCTCCCGCAGCTCCGGCGACCCCTCCTCCCGCAGCTCCGGCGACCCCTCCAGCAGCTCCAGCGACCCCTCCTCCAGCAGCTCCAGCGACCCCTCCTCCAGCAGCTCCAGTGACCCCTCCTCCAGCAGCTCCAGTGACCCCTCCTCCTGCAGCTCCGGCGACCCCTCCTCCCGCAGCCCCAAATACACCACCTCCTCCAGCAGCTCGTCGGACACGAGTGAGGAACATCAGCATTGACGGAGCTTTGGTTGAATACAGGACAATACTCAACTTGACCATCAACGGGAAATCTCTTTCAACAGTCCTAGAAGAAAGAGGCATTTGTCGATCGCACTTCTACAGAAAAAGGTGCATTGCAGAAGCAGCACTCGTGGACAGACAATCCCTTGAGAGCTCGTTCCTGCAGCTACGTAAAGTAACGCTCCAAACCGTATACCCAGCGGCAAAAGATATCTGCAACAGAAAACATAGAGACCTAACACGCCTTTATGCTCAAGGAAACGCCCTAAAGCCTAAAACTCGTTATTAAGATATTTGTTTTATTCTATATTGTAAACCAGTTATTTCAGTATCAATTTATCATCATTATATTGTAAACCAGTTATTTCATTTAAATCAATTAAGCATCAATTTAAATTTCCGACTTTTAACTAGCAGTCCAAAGTATCTTAACAGATAATTTCAAAAATCTGTGTACTGCGGCAATGAAATCACGGCCGTATATTACATATTCTAAACATTTTGTTGCATTAATGTAGTCTTAAACGAGTTTGTTGTCTTAATGTTGTCTTAAATGAGTTTGTTGTTTTAATGTTGTCTTAATGTTGTCTTAATTGAGTTTGTTGTCTTAATGTTGTCTTAATGTTGTCTTAATATTTTATCCTATTTTGTTGTCTTATCGGTGTTTGTTGTCTTAATCTTGTCTTATTGTTGTCTTATTGTTGTCTTATTGTTGCCTTAATGTTGTCTTAATGTTGCCTTAATGTTGTCTTAATGTTTGCTTTAATGTTGCCTTAATGTTGCCTTAATGTTGTCTTAATGTTGTCTTATCGTTTGTTGTCTTATTGGTGTTTGTTGCGTTAACGTTGTCTTATTGTTGTCTTAATGTTGTCTTAATGTTGTCTTATTGTTGTCTTAATGTTGTCTTAATGTTGTCTTACTGTCCCATCGGTGTTCGTACAAGTTGCCGCTTACTGTCACAAAAAATGATGAAAAATACCCTTATTTTCTGTGACGTCCGAAATTTGACGGTTTTTGTTCAATTTCGCCATATTTTCGGACCGCCAAAATTTCGGTCGTCGCAAATTGGTCCGCCACAAAAAAGTCTTGTAAGGTATAAGTGATAAGGTTTCCCGGATGAATCTTCCTGCATAGGAATAGCTGGCTTGGCAACCCAAAATAAAAGAGCAAATTTTAACTCTGAATACCACTGTTCTCCTTGCCTCTGGCTCTATAAGATCTGCACTTCCGCCATCTGTGGCAGACTAATTGAATCACGATTTTGTTTTAGGGTCAGACACCAGACTGAATAGCCTTTGGCGGCTTGAAAAACCACATACGATTATAAAATAACTCCACACGCGCCGTGTGTGGTTATGAGTATTGCTGAAAGCACAGTGTAAGGCCTACACTGTCAAAAGTCGAGGAATTAATTCTACGGAAACTCGTCTAACTCTAAAAAGCGGGAATTTCACCCAACGTTTTAGGAAAACTATTGATTAGTTTTGTAGAGCACGTGCTTGCAAAATCGTTAGGTGGTACGTTTTATGAACTAGTGGTAACTTAAATTAGTTATTAGACAGTATGACGACCAGGGTTTGTCTGTAGTATTGTCTGATAATGTATTATCGTTGCTTCTTTCATGCTTACTATCTAATGCCAAAAGCCGATAAACCTGACTGGCGCTTGGATATCTAATATGTGGATATGCTGGATTCGAGATAAGCACAATTTTCTTATCGGCATTCAGTGTTAGAATCGATAGTTGTTTAATGTTTTCCCTTAATTCTGGAACGCCCCTCAACCTCAAATATATCCAAAAATATATTAGGATCCTGGGTAGATATTCATGCATAAATTTCGCTCTGGAACATAAAATAGTCATAAATTAACAATAATAAAATATTAAACCCATGACCATCCATCAGGTTTCGGAGTCGAAGCCACGGTTCCTGAACGTATTATCGTGTAACAACAAATCGTGGGGGGTGGGAGATAAGGATGTGGATGGAATGGATCAGATCCTACTTAATAAGTTCACCTACATTTGGTCTGAGTGCAAGGAGAACTGGATCAGAACTGATCAAATCATCAAGTGGGTAGGAGAGTGGTATTGCTGGTGGTGGTAGGAGAGTGGTATTGCTGGGGGTGGTAGTAGAGTGGTATTGCTGGGGTGGTAGTAGAGTGGTATTGCTGGTAGTGGTAGGAGAGTGGCATCGCTGGGGGTGGTAGGAGAGTGGCATCGCTGGGGGTGGTAGTAGAGTGGTATTGCTGGGGGTGGTCGGAGAGTGGTATTGCTGGGGTGGTAGTAGAGTGGTATTGCTGGGGGTGGTAGGAGAGTGGCATTGCTGTGGGGGTGGTAGGAGAGTGGTATTCGGGCAAACTGTTTAACCTGTTGAATATTTTATTGCGTTGAGTGTTTCATGCTTGTTGTTTCATAATAAGATAATAACACAATATCCACAATCCACATGAAATTGTAATCCTCTAACTTACCGCGACTGGTCACATGACCTACCATTACCCCTGCAGACCGAGAGTGGTAGATAACGAGTGGTACAAGCCCCTGTCCGCCACAGAGCCAGCCCTGCCCTCCGCTCCCTCCACCCCCACACACTCCATGCCTCAGACTACTGTGGGCTGCATGTCCCCCGCTGCCATGTCCAGCTGCATGAGCCCCGCTGATGGTAGTCCTATTAACTACCCCAGCAACTTCCCTCCTTCTCCCTTTATCTCTGTACAAGGTAATTCAGTTAATAGTTTCGTGTTATTTGTAAAATATGCTATATTTCTGGAATTTCGTGCAGAATTAAGGAATTTGTACATACTTTTAGCAATTGGAATTAGAGGCGATAAGATATACAATAACTGTCAAACAAACACATACCCCGTATAAATTCATCTTACGAGGTGTTCACTAATAACTTCACCTACATTGTTCAATATAAGATATAGATAAATACAAAATTTAAATAGGCAAGTAAGTTTTGACATAATATGTAAATAATTAAGTTTACGCGAGGCTAAATATACTACATTTACTATTTTATTTAAAATATAGCTTAGCCAGATATTTTAAAACTGAGTTAACAGTTTTACGTTTTATGTTTTTAGACATGACTGTTACTCATTGACATCGTATTTTGTACACTATCTGCTCTCCTCCTCCCGTCCCCCCCCCCCCCCCCGGCCCCCCCCCCCCCCGGCCCCTTTCTCTTGAGATGACGTCATTTATAGCTCCCTCATCCACATCAAGATGGTGACGATGTGCTACACATACTAATACTGTGCAGGAAACGTCACACCCTTATTGTGTACTGTGTCTCATTTTAAATCATGTATTTTCCTTTGCCCTCGTACGTTATTGCAATTGTAAAACTCTGATTTACTGCAGCTGTTAGGTAAACAGCCGAAGTTAATCGGGTTTAGCGGTAAATTTTGATGGTTAGAATTTCTATAAGCCCTGGACTCAATTTGGGAAAGGAAACAGCCGCGGTAAATCGGAGGTTTGCGGTGAAGCGGGTTAATGTGTCGCACTGCTGATGCCCATGAAATAAAACCTCCACCACAAAATTAATGGCAGGCATGGGGGAAAGCGTTCTAATCTCGTTTACATTCATGACCGTCCAAATTATAAACTTTGTGCGTAATTCGATACACGTTTGTTGGCCTCGTGTCCAATGAGGGTGAGAGTCACATATAAATTCAAAATTGAGATTTATATAATATAGATGTCCTATCTTACCCTGATAAATTAGGTAAACTAATAAGACAATTAACGTAATTAAGACCCTTATTAATTGTGATGACCTGTCAGGGGGAGGCACGGAGGAGATTAGTTGGAGTAGGAGAAGTAACACCCCCTCGCAAGAGTCCTACATCAGTACCCCGCCCTACACTGAGGCTTATAGTAAGTGGACACATTTACTCTTATTATCTCTCAGTATTTAGGTACCGCAGACCGCTGTATGTGGAGTGAAGCTTAATAGTTGTAATCATTTCGAGCTCGCCGAAACCTTTTAACACGTACGAACCAGTTAGTGAACCACTGTGGAAATTCGAGTAGATCGTTCAGCCTTTGCAGTCCCGCGTATTTAATTATTTGTTGTATGCAGCGGTAACCTTAGATTGAAGCCGCTGGTTGAGCGGGAGGAACCATACTCCATTTTCTGTCGCAAACACTACGGGATCTGGACTTTACGGCGGAGAAGATTTGTCGGCGCAAAATGGGTTTAGGGTTTAGGATTTGGCTATGGGAATTTTCCCTAAACCTAACCCTAATTCACAGAGTCTCGGAACCACGCTAACGCGTGAGACAGTGCGACTTAATGAATAACCACCAAGCTAACGCGTGAATTCGACCCTAAACTTGAAACCAACGAGAAATTAAGCTTACTGATCGTTTGAAATTAGTTATAAGGGGCCTGTTTTTCGTTGATAGATATTCGATGTTTCTTAGTTTTAGCTTTGAGTTTGATTATTTTGTTTCGTGATGTTTTTCAGTTAAATTCACTCTCGTTTTTGCTGTCCAATTTCACCGATATTGCAGAAAGTTCGACTGATCTAGATCTAGGGGCTCTTTATTTGAATCCTCACCAGTCCCCTGGATTGTTCTAAATCTTTTAGTCCCAGACGTCAGTGACTAATTGATTGTATCATGTGATATTGTTGATGCATATAATACAGGTCGCGACTAAAATATTGGCAAGCAGGTTGCACGGATTGCATTAATATCATGCTTATTCGATAAAACTTGTATTTTTTGGATGTATGTTTGTGAAACGTATGAACTAACAAAGTTACGCAGTTTACACCTCCTTGTAGAGAATGATTACTAACTAATTACTCTTATATAATTCTACAGACGGTATTCTGATCGATATCTAATTTGTCATTCCGTGACGGCTTCATCTAAACTAACACAGTTTTTCTCACCTCAACATCACACCAGTTTATAGCAACTTCGAACAAATTCTCATAGTTGGGAAAGCGCACTCAACGAAATTTTAAAAGGTGCTGAACTCCACAAACTTTTAAAACTCATCTTTCATTAGTTCTTCGTAGAAAGTTCTTATGCGCAATGGTTTTGTAATAGCGCCTTAAATTGACAAAAAACTAGCGGACAAAAATCTTTTGAGTTACAAATCAAACCCTTGTATTGCTTCGATATCAAAATATAGTTGTCTTTTGACTTATCCCGAAAACGAAAACTTCTCCCATATCAGTTTTACTATAATTTGAAACAGGAGGAACATTTAAGAGGAAATAGTGTTGTTCACTTCGTAGTACACGTACAGCCTACATGTTGACTCTTTATGTCAATGCATTTGGTGATATAGTCTGGAGCTATGTTGTTGACGCATTTGAACACGGTTAGAGCAATCTTATAATCTATTCGCTGTCTTATTGGAAGAAAATGGACCTTTTTCAGGAATGGGGCGACATTGTCCCACTTTTTAATAGCTTTTCCACCAAACAAGAATCGAACACCGGAATTTTGTACCTTCTGGAGTTTCTTCATGAGAAAATCAGGTAAACCGTATACCGTAGAAGTCCATTCCAATAATATAGTTTTGAAAAGATCAAACAGTGGATGATCTGTGCTTTTAGGTCATAATTAAGCTTTGAGCCTATAACTCGAAGGTTCCTCAAATGAATGTTGCAACAACTGATGATTGAATCAAAGAAATTGATCAAAGAGAACATCTTAACTTTTTACTGTGTGGGATGCATCCACAGTGTCAGCCTAGCTGCATTGTCAAGTTGTATTGAATCGACTGGACATGAAGAGTAACTGTTCTTGGTCAATGGTCTGTACTGGGGGGGGGGGGCCAATGGCATAAATGGAGAAAATGGAGAATTACTCATAGGTTTTTCCATTTTCTCCATAGAAATAGTCTCCATTTTATGCCATTTTATGCCATTTTATGCCATTTTATGCCATTTTATGCCATTTTATGCCATTTTATGCCATTTTATGCCATTTTATGCCATTGAAAACCTGAAAAATTTAGAATTTCGAGAAAAATTATTTTTTAAAAAGATATTTTCGGCCAATAATGAACAGAGTATCATGAAACATGAAGAAAAGTGGTTTTCAGAAAAACTTTGAAAAATGTTGACTTAGAAAATGTTCGGTCCGAGTCATTTACGATACGTACCTCCCGTATCGAGAGCTCCCGATTCCCAGCTCGTGTTGCAAAGGAGAGGCCTGCCTTCCGAGATCGCATTACCTCGAGTCCAAAATTGTGTATCGAGGGGAAGGTGTGGACTTCGAAAAACCGAAAAAATATTTTCGACAAGTAATGAACATAGTAGCATGAAACGTTACGTGGAGAAACGTACGTGGAGAAAAGCGGTTTTCAGAAAAAATTTGACTTAGAAATTACCCCTCGGTACACAATTTTGGACTCGAGGCTTCCCCCTGGTAATGCGATCTCGGAAGGCAGGCCTCCCCTTTGCAACACGAGCTCGGAATCGGGAGCTCTCGATACGAGAGGTACGTATCGAGAATGACTCGGGCCGAACATTTTCTAAGTCAAAATTTTTCAAAGTTTTTCTAAAAACCACTTTTCTCCACGTTTCATGCTACCCTCTTCATTATAAGCCGAAAATATTTTTTTGGTTTTTCGGTTTATCGAAGTCTGCACCTACCCCTCGATACACAAATTTGGACTCGAGGCTTCCCCCTGGTAATGCGATCTCGAAAGGCAGGCCTCCCCTTTGCAGTGCGAGCTTGTTTCGACTGTCGAGGATGTAGGTCTCACTTCTCAGTGCCTATTACTCTCCCCTATTACTCACTCCTGCTGTAGCCTGTAGAAATAACTTTACACTAGGATTGAGTAATTATGAGTTTGCCTGAAGTGTGCCTCTACTAACCTAGTATAAGCATCTAGTAGCCTACTATGAGCTTTCATAAGCTTGTTACGCCCCTAGTAAGCGTAAATAAACATGTTAGGATGTCCAATTTAGGTGTTAAATGGTGTTAAAGATGAAATTTCGAAGACAAAATTCATGGCATAAAATGGAGAAAATGGAGAATTACTCATGGGTTTTTCCATTTTATCCATAGAAAAAGTCTCCAATTTATGCCATTTTATGCCATTGGCCCCCCCCCCCCCCCCCCTCTGTACTACAAGAGCTTCTGTTTTGTTTTGGTTTAGTTTAAGTTTATTTTGGGTCATCCAGCTCTTGATATCTTAAAAACAATGTGTTATTCTCTCTTCGATTGTTGACAGATCTCGAAATAGTGGGTTAAACTCTATGTAAAGTTGGGTGTCATCTACGTACATGTGGATGTTAAATCCATGTCGCTTTGCGATATGATTAAGCTTCTTTGTGTAAAGTATAAACAGAATTGAACCTTGACTTAAACCTTGCGGGACTCCAATTCTAAGGAAGCATCTCTTTGATCTTGATTTATCAATAGTTACTGTGAAGAATCCGTAAAAGCCAAAATCCTTTTGTAGTTTTAAAGGGAGGAATCGATGATTTAAAAACTAAAAAGCAGCGCTAAGGTCCAAAAAGAGGAGGACAACCTTGCTTTTTATGTCACTGATACAAAGGAGATCATTGTAAATAGTAATGGTTGCAGTTTCGCAGCTATGGTTTGACACATAACCACTTTGATGTTCATCATGGAGATTGTGGTAGTCAAGTCCATCTGTTTCTGGACACTTCGACGGACATTATCCAGTGACAAGTGAGTCATTGATCATGAATGACACTATTGGTTTAACTTCATCGAAACACTGCATTAAAAGTTTGAGAAGAATGGGGTCCTCTTCACATTTAGAAAAAATTCGAAAATATTTCACGTACATTTTTTAGAGACTGAAAAATTTCGAAATATAATTTTCGCCAAAAGTGATAAAATCGCATGAAACGTGGAGAAAAATATAATTATTTTTTAAACTCTAAATTTTTCGTTTAAATCACCAATATTTGTAGTTAGAGTTTAGTAAATCTCGGCAGGTTTTTGTATTCAGGAATTACTAAGTGGAAAGGTCTGAAACTGAAAAACGTTAACCACACGATATTAGAGTTTCATAATTAATTACAGTACAGCCTTATCGATTTTCACAGAAACTGCACCAAAGGTACATTCAAGATCGAACCGATAGCCTGCTGTACTATAATTTTATTGATTTCAATGATTAATCAGTGGGGTTAAGAAATCACATTTGTAATAAATAAAACTTCTCTGTACTGTCAATCGTGCTAATCTAAACAGACCTCCATGGATACACCAGACCTCTTCTTTTCCTCAACAATCAGACCGAGTTGTGCACGAAACTCGGTATATGTAACGCTTTATACCGTGAAAGGCCCGGTATAGAGAGGTTTTACAGTTTATAATCACGAAAACGTCTACTTGGCCTGATGGTTCATTTACAGCTCGAAGAAGGCAAATTACCCCCATATGTCAGGGTCGGATAAAATCAACAAGGGTAAGAAACGGGCAACTGCAAGGGTAATATTTAGATACGGGTGTCGGGCAAGGGGTATACGTAGTAACTTAAATGAGTTCCAGGAGAGTCAGGATTTCTTGGAAATTGCTGATTTCTGATTGCTTGGAAAGAGACAACGGGACATATCATGAAGCATTGTTAATAAGGATGTTGAATGTTGATTTGGAATTGGGATGTTGTGAAGCAAATGCAAAAGAGTGCAAAAGTCATCTTGTTCGGACACGTTGCCATTATCGGTACAATTTTTTTTAAGTCGCAATAATCATTAATCGATAACTTTTTCAAAATTATCGCGATAATATCGGTTATCGGCGATAAATTTGTCAAGATAATAGAAGTAATATTTTTTAACCTTGTTAAATCATCATTATATGGTTACGATATCATTAATTGAATTTAATTTCCAAAAATCGGTTAAATTCGAACTTTGAAGATAAAA